TCGCCGGTGTGGGTGCGGATGTGGGTGGTGAGGTGGTCGCTGCGGCTGAAGCTGCGCATGCAGATGCGGCACTGGAAGGGCTTGTGGCCCGTGTGGATGCGCAGGTGCCGCGTCAGCTCGTCGGAGCGCGAGAAGCGCCGGTCGCAGCCTTCGGCCGGACAAGCGTGGGGCCGCTCGTGGAGCGGGGTCTTGCTGGGCCGGTTGGGGTACTTGCGCGGCCGGATGGGCTTAAGGGTGAGGGGCGGCTGCTGCTGGAGGCTACCGAAGCCCGGGTGGATTTGCTTGTCCTTGAAGGCTTTGATGGTCTCCAGTGGGGTGATGGGGGGCGGGTTGACCCGGATCGGGTCCAGGTTCTGGAAAGGTTTGTGTTCTGGGAGGCTGCCCAGGTCGTTGGGGTGCCCGTGGTAGAGGTTGTAGTCCGGGATCATGGGGAAGAGATTTCCGTCCAAGCCGCCACCCTGCTTGGCTCCTTGGTAGTCCTGCGTGGGGTAAGCCAAGCCGGCGGCGTTGCCCTGCGGGTCGTGAAAGGAGACGGGCTCTCCCGGGTAAAGCTCGCTGCATGTGGAGTACGGGGGCAGCGCCGGATACATGCCCTCCACTTCGGCCTGGCTCTGCGCTTGCACCATGCCGCCCGTCGAGGCCTGGCCGCCGGAGGAGGGCGGCGGCACGCCGAGGATGCCGCTGCTCATCAGGCTGATGATGTTGTCCTGGCACCAGTTGGAGGGCGAGTCGAAGGCGAACTTGCCCAGGTAGGTCACCGTCTTGTTGCCCCCGGGAGCGGGCTGGAAGGAGCCCGAGTAGGAAGACAAGTCCTGCCCGGCCTTGTCGTTGGCTAAACCAATATCCATAACATTATCTGCGAGGGGCGAGAAACGGGGGGAGGGGAGGGCGAGAGAGAAAGAAAAGGTGAGCGATTGGGGGGCCAGGAGAATTGTGAGGGGGGGCGAGAAACCTGCCTGGCGAGAGAGAGGAGGGAAGGGCAGGCGGAGGATGGAGAAGGGTCCACGTGGGCAGTCCCAAGGGCCCTCGCTTTGCCCAGAAGCCCCCCGCTCCCCGCCGGACCCCTCGCGAACCCCAAATTGGAAGCTGCGCTCAGCGCCTGGCGCGCGAGAAGAATAGGAAAGGCGCCGGCGTCTGGAGGCCGCGGAAGGCGGAGCCCTCGCGCTCGAGAAAGCAGGGAGGGAGCAGGGAAAGGATTTGTAGGCTTAACTTATGGACAGACTCAAAAGACAAAACACAGAAATACACCGGGCGCTGGGGAGGAATGCACCCCCCTTTTCCCAACGGGCCAGGCTCAGGGATCGCCCAACCAGGCTGGGCTGCCCTTGGAGAGCTCGCGCGCGCGCTCCCGCTTAGACACACAAGAGAGAGAGGCAAGACACAATGCTAGGAAGAAAATCCACAAGTAGCAGCGCTCGCACAGCCCTACCAGTACACGCGTGTTAGAGAACCCAGCGAGACGCGCGCGCGAGAGAGAGAGCAGCGAAGCACCTGTACTTCCAAAGATCGGCGCGTTCTCTTTCCACAGGCCGTTCTCCGCGGCCTTAAAAAAAAGGGGGGGGGAGGGCGTCTCGGTTTCAGGCCGAGGCCACAGCCGGAGCCGAGGAAGGTCCCACTCCTAGCCCTACTTTGGGTAGTAAGGACTAAAGCCGCCAGGCGCTGGGCAAAAGAGGCTACCTGGTGGTTGAAGTGGACGGTCGAGAGAGGAACCCTAAGAAGAGACTTGCGTGTCGAAGGGAGGGCGGGGAAACAGAGCAGGTCGCAGGTACCTGAAGTTCTCAGGCTGCAGGGAGCGAACTGGGCTGTCTGTCTTTCTCTCGGCTTGCCTCCGGCCGCTTTCCGACCCCACCGACACGGCCGGCCACCTCCAAGAGAGCTTTACAAACTTCTCAGGGATTTCTGCGCCGAGGCCAGTTATGAAAAATACAAAGGGAGGAGGGGAAACTGTGTGTGTGTGTGCGTTCCCCCACTCTCCCTGAGCGCTGGTGGCGAAAGGATTTGGGGGGAGGAGATGGTGGGCTAATCAAAGGATGCGGTGGAGGTGGGGCAAGGATGAACCGAACCGGGTCCGTTGCAGTTTGGAAGAAAAAGGGGAGACTCTAACCCTGACCTCTGGTCACCCCACACCTCCCCAGAACTCTCCCCTTCCGAGAGGCATCAAAAAGGAAGCCTGTCAATTTGGGCTTCAGCACGGGAAGAGGAGGGGAGGGAGAGGCGGAGACGAAGCCCCGTTCTTCCCCACCTTGTACCCCTTCCCTTGTCCTTCTCGCTGCTCTTCTCTGCCCTGCCCGCGCAGCCACCACCTCTCTGCCTCTAGGAATCCTCGCCAGCTCCAGACTCCCCCCCCCCATGTAGGAAAAACAGGGTTGCCTTCACGTACTTCTCCACCCCCCCTCCTGATTCCGACATGATGGATGTAGCAGTAAAGAGAAAGAAGAATGAGAGGGGTGGCGTGGGGAGGGGGGGCGACATGCCAGCGCAGCGATGGATGGCAGCCTGATGCCACAGAGAAGCCACGGCACATGGAAAGGAAGACACACACACATGCACACACAACACACGCACATAAGAATGGAAGCGCATAGAAAAAGAGTACGCCAACGGCGAAGGGAGCCTTGGTTCCCACGGCCAGAAGCGCACCGCCGACAGAAGCGCAGCCATCCCAGGGAGGCCTGTGAAAGGCAGAGTCCTGGTCTGGGGGGGGGNTAGATAGATAGATAGATAGATAGATAGATAGATAGATAGATAGATAGATAGATATTTTAACATCTTTGTGTGTTCAAGCATTGACTGATTTTTATTTTTAATTAAACATGTGTGGGGAGATTACTGAAATTAAACATTTCTTAGTAAGATTCATATAAAAGGACTCTGGGGGAAACTGCCAGTGGGATGGGAAGAAGGGAAAACTCAGCATTATATATACTAAAAGACATATTCCAAAAAGCCTGAAACTTCATCTCTTTAGTCAAAACTCTCCAAAACTGCCTAAGTCTCTACAGTAATTTTCCCCCCGGTTTAATCTCAAGAACAATTTGGCTATACCTCCCAGAATGCCCAGCCAAAATGGGCATCTGGGAATTATCCAACATTTCAAAAAAATAATAAAAGCAGAAATTCTGTTTTGGAAAACTGCCATAAGATAAACGACTTGGATATACGCAATCCATCCTCAAAAATATTCTATGTTCATGTGGTCGAACTAGACAAGAGATTTAATTTTTCTGAAATACAAAATGGTAGGTTTTCCTCCGGACCAGAGACAAAAGAAGGCGCTGAGTCAGCAACTGAATCCTGCATCTTAGGGGAAGTGACAGATTCCTAGCAACTTTGGGTAGGCAGTAGATCTAATTTCAGCCTGAATATCTGATCGTGGCCATTCCATAAATGTAAAGCTTCCCCTTGCACATATGTGCCAGTTGTTCCTGACTCTAGGGGGTGGTGCTCATCTCCGTTTCAAAGCCAAAGAGCCAGGGCTGTCCAAAGACATCTCCGTGGTCATGTGGCCAGCATGACTAAATGCCAAAGGCTCACAGAACCAAAGGTGGTCCCTACTTTTTCTACTTGCATTTTTACATGCTTTTGAACTGCTAGGTTGGCAGAAGCTGGGACAAGTAATGGGAGCTCATTCTGTTACACAGCGCTAGGGATTCAAACCTCTGAACTGCCACCTTTCTGATCGACAAGCTCAGTGTCTTAGCCACTGAGCCACTGCTTCCCTAAAAAAGCCATTCCATGGAACAGTTTCAATCAGAGTTTCTTGAGCCTTTTTCTCTCATGGCCCCTTCCCACTAAAAAAAATCATGGTAGAACCCTCTCCCCCAAAGCTTTTATTTGTATAGGTTATATTTATCAATATTTATTGTATTAAACATTAAAATGAATGCATTTGCCTCCAGTATTGCTTTTCTCCATGGGTTTATGGGATGTTAATTTTGTATTAGCTTCCAATGTAGACGGGCAAATCATTCTCATCTTGTAGACCTTTGAGAAAGCCCTGGCAGGACGTTAAGGGACCATGAGACCACACTTGGAACAAACACTGGTTTAAATAATCTTCAAAAGCAAGTCATCCCCATTGCCATTTAAGCTGCACCTTTCTTGGATTATGTTTATTGAAATGTAGTTAGTAAAACCATCAATATTAAATGGAGTTTGCTCAGACTCAACTTAAATACACTATGTAAGTGAAGTGGAGAGAGTGGAAAAGAGAAAGGGAGGGAGAGGGGGAAGAGAGGGCTTAGGAGAGAGGGAGCAGAGGAGAAAAAGGGTAGGAGGGAGTGGAAAGAGGAGAGAGAAGGAGAGAGGAAGGGGAAGTAGAGAAGAGAGGGGTGGTAGAGGGAAGAAAGGAGGTAGGGGAGAGGAGAGAGAGAGAGGAGGCAGTATGGCTGTGGATAGGGTATAATATGGTATATGGAAAGCAGAAGATCAAAGGATAGTCTTTGGAGGTTGATGGTCAGAGGAACTGATATAATATGGAACAACACAAAATAGTGCTGCTTAAGATGTAATGGTATACCTGTTGTTTTCTTGTATGAAAATTAAAAACTTTTCAAAAAAGAGAGAAGGCCCTGTGGGGACATTTAGGTACCCTGAGACCATGCTTGGAAGAAACACTGGTTTAAATAATCTTCAAAAGCAAGTCATCCCCATTGCCATTTAAGCTGCACCCTTCGGAGAATATGGACACGGAAATGATGTATGTTAGAATGAATTTTCATCAGCAAAACGCTTCCCATGGTCATTAAACAAGCCCAACTCTTCACACATTAGGGAATAAGTTTTTGGCTTAATCTCTTCCAATAGGTCAAGAGCTATAGGTTTTCCCACAGATGAAAAGCATTCAGACACGCATCACAGTGATGTCATTATGAACGGCTATCTAACACTGTGATCGCTTTCAATACTGCCCCAGCCCAAAGTCATAACATTTCAGCTCATGTCACTCTGTGAAACAATCTTCAGAACAGACCACTCTAAGCTTAACGTGTCCCTATGGATAAGCTATGTTTCTAGAGCTCAAGATTTCTCCTCCATTGTGCAATTAAGAAATGCTGCAATGAAATGTCATTACTGGTCAACCCTGATCAAGCATGAGGAAGATTAAATCACCAAATATTTGATCTACTCCTTCCCTCTAACTTTCTTTGAAGACATTAAAAAAATATCCATGAAATGACCATTGCACCATTTTCTTCTGTATGTTATATTGCAGGGGTCCCCAAACTTGGCAAATGTAAGACTGATGAACTTCACCTCCCAGAATTCTCCAGCCAGCTATGTTTAATCCTGGGAGTTGAAGTCCACCAGTCTTAAAGTTGCCAAGTTTGAAGACCTCTGCTGTATTGGATAGTTAAGACAGCCTATTTTTTTCTTACAGTTTTCTAATGAACATCTCTTTCGCCATCTTCCATGGCTACTGTAGCCATTTCTAAAGCAAATGCATGGATATTTTAACCCTTCCATGTCTGCCCATGGATAGTTATGTTCTCTTATCCCCCTCACCCTGCCCCACAGGGCTTTGAGCAAGACAGAGTATTAATAACTAAACCTCACCAACTATTTCAGATTTGGGGTATGTACATTGCTCTTCCATTAAAAACAAGAAGTTCTTAATTCTTAAGAAGTGTGTAGTCACTAATTCTCATGTACAGTGGCCACTAAAGCTCTTGGACTGAAAAGGAAAAGTAGGGAGGGATAAAGTAAACCTCAACTCTTTATGATAAAAACACTACAAAGTTCAGGTAAGTTGGATGGATCAGGAGGGTGTCCAGAAAACTGAGTTTCAGAAAACAGGATAGCAAGAAACTGGTCAATTCACAAGGACATAGTGAGAGTCATTAGCACCACTTACAGTAGGACAAAA